CAAAGCAACATGTTATTATTACACAGGCTACATTCGCTGACCTGCTCCAGCCTTTTGCAGTGAACTCGCGGTACGTGAGATTATAGACTCACTACCTCTTGTTAGTTGAAAGTAGTGTAGGGAGGAACTGATACAAACATGGCTAGGTCTGCATCTCCTCTGCTGCTTCTGCTGAAAACTCTGCTATTGATTGAACAGAAAGAATGCAGGTGGGGACTGGGGTCCATTTTTGGCACCATCTTCCCCACCATCACCGTCTAGCTGGGATTTCACCATGTAGCAATGAGTTTATGTAAAACCTGAAGGTCACGGGGTAAGAGAGAGTGGACAGAATAATGCATGAAGAGGAGTGCATTATTTCCTCTTTCTCGTGTTACAGAAATTATTTTCTCCTCTGCATCATCCCCCAATGGGAAAATGCAAGGACACCGCTGAACAGGAATTGCTTTAAGCGGGTGATCTGGCTGGAAATGCCTCAGCCACTTTGTCCAGGTTCTGCAAGGATGGCAGAGGTGTTCCACACAGTCTCCCAGGATATGCTAAAGCTTGGACGGGAACCACATCCGTTTTTGTAGAGAGTGAAACAAAAATAAAATGCGATGTCTGGGTATTTTTCCCGTTGCTCCCAGAAACATGGACTGCGGACAAAACCTAGAAGGTCTTAGGCAGACAGAGCTCTCAGTCAACATTGCAGGGGATTTGCCTCAGTAAAAATTTCAGAAATCAGCATCTCTTTGTTGTGCAATAGTTCTGCTAAAAGCAAAGGCATTTACAATGTTTTATAACTGACATGGTAGTACCTGTCACCAATAATGAAATTTTTTCTTCAAAATATTTAAATTAAAAGTTTCAGATTGATGTGAATGATTAATAACAATCACGTAACCTGTAAAATTATTTTTACACTATAATAATCTTCTGACAATTTACTCCAGTTCCTCAAGTAAGATTTGTAATGGCTCTAGATCATTTGACAAAGTTAGACTCAGTATTTATGTTTATTTAGTAATAGAGCAGACAGGTCATTTCTTATGCAAGACATCAGCAGGGACCTTTGCATGCCTCTCCCATCATTGCATTTTGCAGAACAGTTTTCCTTAGAGCCTTAGCCTGTGATTCATTTCACATCCCCATTCCCCAGTGAGATCATGTGGTGTATGTTTGATTTACCAGCAGCAAAGCAGGCATTATGTCTTTTAGTATGAGACATGTCTGTATAGATTAGAATTGTAACCTACAGTTGCAACTTATACTGAACAGTTTTAGATTTCAGAATACTGAGAGCATGATGTAATTGATCATACGTAGCGTGTCGGCCTGCCTGTCTCTTTTGGGACGTAAGGGGCAATCATTGGAGTCTGTATCTGGGAGAAAGGGGAGGAGGTCAGATGTTAAAAATGAGACTGTAGAAGTTCTACTGTCAAGGCAGAGCCAGGCAATGCAGTTAAACCAAGCTTGTGCAAAATTATCTCCCTGTATATTCCTGCAGTATGAATAATATACATTACCTTTCGAAGTAGGAAAAATGTAGCACCTTTCTCTTCTAGCCCAAGTTCTAGTGCAAAGCTGGAGACAAACACAAGCAGGACAGCACTTGTCAGCAGGACAGCTAACAGCTTCATTATGATCTGGACCTCGCTCTGTCCCATACGTTGCTCACAGGGCCTGTCTCTTGTCTTCCGAAGGAGAAAAAGCTACTTTCTGCCTAAACGTTTCAGGTGAAATCCTGGGTCAGTGAACAGTTGAATGTTAATTTGCTCATAAAACAGATTCACTTGGATTATTTAGGATCAAGGGGTATTAAACAGGTGCCATCTCTGCCATGCAAAGTCCCAGTGCTTGCTGCTTGCCAGGACCTGGGCTGATAAACCACGTGAGCAACTGATCCACACTTGCTCTGTTTCTTATACTCGTCCATAAAGCAGCTTCTGTTGGACACCGGGTACAGACTGCTGGTCTGGCACAATATGACCGTGTGTATGTTCTCAGTCGTGAAGTTACATTTTTGCTCAGGGTTTTGCTGAAGAGTCTAAAGGGAAGCATGTTTTACTACGCTTGGTTGGTAAAAGCACGATGCTGAGGAGAGGAGCTGAGCGGGCAGGGCTGGGTGCGGTTCAGTTTCACGCTGCTGCTCCGACGGGTGTGCAAGGCACGGACAGCAGGCGTTACAGCAGCACCCTGCTCACCTTTATCTCCCGTTGAGGTGGTTTAATAAGACATTAAATGAGAAGTGGTAGCTACCAAAAGGTAGTTCCATTTTAAAAATGGCCATAGCTGAACTGTTCTTCCTGCTCTTCCCACCTGTAAAACGAGATACCGGCAGAAGAGGGGACTCGGCATTGAGCTTTGCAAGGGAGGGGCAGCATGCCTGGTCCCAGCAGGAGGACTGCGCAGCAGGAGCGAAGCGGGGGCATTAATGATGTGTGGAGACAGGTCGGTTCAGTTCTTTTGCAATTTTTCCAGACGCATGAGTTCGAGTCTCACCTGGTCGATTGCCCTGCCGCTTCTCTTGCGCTGAAAAGAGGGCACAGTGTCATTTAAACTGGCGATTCAGAGGCAGCCAGGTATGATGCTAAAAACCTCTCTCTGTGGTGTAGGAATTGCCATGGCTGATGGGTCAGGGTGACCTTTTATCTTGATTTTGTTCACCACCTTCTAAAACGCAGAAAAGGCTTCTACACTGATTCACGGAAGATACCATAAGCCTAAAACACAGATTTCACCATCTGGTATGTGCAACATAAGCGATTTTGAAGCTCAGAATGTTTTGGAACTTGCCAAAAACACGACAAAACTATTTGTGTTGGGTTTGTATCTGTTAATGTTTGAATCTCTCTTGTTCTAGGAAAGGCCCATAAACATAAGCACTTGCTTCTATCACAGGGAAATAAGGGAAAGGCATGTCTTTGGTTAATTACCTGCGCTGTTGGGTACCACAGTCATAAGGCTACTACAGAAGAGGAGGATCATCTGAAACCACTTGCTAATTCTGTTTCTAAGTCTTTCCGTTTCAGATAACATTTTTCGTTAGTGCAGAGATTTACATTTTTCTTTAAAAATTGCATTTTGCCTTCAGTTCTGGAAGCTACTTAGCTTTCCAGGGAAGACAAACAGTGCACTGCACGTCGACTCACAGGGATCAAATGTTAGCTCTTAGTGTGATATCATCTTCTGCACATTTTTATATTATTGCAGTTCATAACACTGCACCACAAGATGGGAAACAGTAAAAGCCTCTTTATTTATAAGGTTATTACAGGTATCCTCCAGTGTATCTCGTGTGTATACATCCTGTCAAAATATTTCAGGATTTTGACAACAGTGCCTGAACTTGTTTCAAGTGACATGACATGGCTTTTAACTGTATTTTTTTACAGTTTTAGTATTTTTAAGAATAGCTAATAAGTGTGTTACCCATGCACTAAAAAAATAGAGAATCCCTTGGTGAACAAAATCGTTTAAATAAACATCGGTTGAGTTTTGCAGTTAAATAACCTGTACAGGAAATTATTATGATGTTCTCTATAATTGCTCTGGAAAAAAAAAAAAAAGTCATGAAGTGTATGGAAGGCATAACAGACCTAATTAATGCCCACACTGTTTCTCCCGAGAAACACATTTTATGTAATGTAAATGCACTGCATAGAAAATGTTCTTGTGCTTATTTTATAGTTTGCCCTTATTTTTTCCTTGTACAGCTGCAATGTATGGTATTTTACAATGTGATGTGTACCCATCTTCAGAATTGCAAGTTGTATTATCATTTCTGAAATGTGAAAAACAATTACCTCTTTCCTCTATGTTTTAAGGGTTGATGTCAATTATGATCCAAGGTGTCTTTTCGTGTCCAAGGAGTGTGGATGTGTTTGTACACATGCACACATTCATGTTCTAAAAGAGGTGGCTGTTTCATTATTGTGTTCATTATGTGTGTATGTAAGCGCAGGTATTATCAGGAGCATTCTTTTTAGCTTTTAGAATAAAAGCTGAATCAGAGACTGAAAACACTGACACATCTGGAATTTCAGAGCATTTCCAGGGACTGGCAATTAATGGTACTCAACTGACCCCGCGCCTCATCACTGATGGATGATAAGAGTTTAGCTAATGAGAAGGTGTTCAGAGAAGAGTCAGGGATTTTTTATTCTCTTGTCAGTTTGGCTGGGGATCTCTGTGGATTTAAATCTGAGTTGTTATCCCCAAAGTGGTCCAGAAGAATCCCTGTCAATGGTCAGACTGTTCTCTGCTGTCAGTAGTTTTGTGTTTACATGTTAAGCTCTGCAGGTCAGGGATCATCGCTTTATATGTTTATAAAGTTATACTGCTATCTCTGTTTCTAAAGTGTCTAAAATAAAGTGGCCTGGCCTCCCAGTACCACTCAATGGAAAACGGTGATCAGCAGAAGGGGGCTGTTCTGTTCTGTGCCTGGCAGTGCTCACCCGTTCTAACAGGTCAGCTTAATGGGTGCCGTTTGCTGAAACACTTTCAGTGGAGCCAGATTCTTCTCAGGGGTATCCATCGAAAGGACAAGAGGCAATGGGCACAAACCAGAACACAGGAATTTCTGTTTAAATACGAGAAAAAGCTGAAAAAGCTGCAAGGGAGATCGAACGCTGGACCAGGTTCCCCGGAGGGGTTGTATAGTCTCTGACTTGGGTGGCCTCCTCTAGTTGATCTTTCTCTGAGCTGGGAGGTTGCACAAGGCAACCTCTAGAGATTGCCTTGCAACCTCATCGAGTCTGTGGTTCTGTGATTTGCTTTACTGGGACCTAACTGGATAGGTCTGTGCTTCCTGAATAGAGCAGGCTGGGGAATACCGCTGACTGTCTGCAGGCAAAGGTTTCAGCAGAGCTGGTGGTTTGCCAGTGTGCTTGCTTAGCGTCAGCACCCCAGAAGGCAAACCAGGAAGGGTCATCTGATAGTCAGTAGGTCCAAAGAGCTTGCTAATTCCTTATGCTGCTCTGCCAGGGTGGTGCTGATAACTGACATACATTTCGTAGGTATGCAGTGCAATCCAGAATCAAGATTTCACTGTTATTGATGACTACTGCACTGGACTGCGAGCTCTTCTTTACCTGAAAAGCATTGAGGAACTTGAAGACTGGAATGGACAGAGTCCTGCAACCATGTGCCATCAGAAAGGAAAACCAGTACCTAGAATCGCTGATCTGATGGGAAAGGTACGTCGTTTCGTTGCCATTCCTGTATAATGACACTATGTCTTGGCTTTGAATGCAATTCTGTAATCATTGTGTGCAGTTTCTGCTGCTTACCTTGGTTAACCACTGCTGCTGTCACAATTAGTCACCAAGTCTTTTTTTCTTCTGAGTATTAACAAACATCTGAAGGCAGCTTAAGAAGACAAACTTGAAATTACTTGATACGGGATAACTTTTTTACTATAAATATGATCTCCACTTGATTCAAAACGTCATGTCTTTAAAAACAAAGTCCAGGATGTAAAATTACAAATACATTGGAAGAAGTTCTGGAACTGCTTGTTTTAATGAAACTCAATTCAATTGAGATTGATACTAATATTGTGCCAGAAGTTCCTGGGTGTTCCAGCCAGGGTGCAACATTGAGGAGACATGAAAGCCCCCTAGCACTGGCCCAAACCAGCTGAGACAGCTTGTCACAAAGCAGCTGTTAGTTGGAACACTAGATCAGGTAGGAGTGGCCCTTCGATCATCGTACCTGTGCATCTCCTGGTCTTTCATGTGTGCTGACTCCCAAACCTTCTGCAAGGCAGGGAAGTTCCAGGTGAGGAACAGTGACACCGAATAATTTAATAGATTCTGTTAGATGGTTTAAACCTAGGAAGTCTATGGTGGAACAGGAATGTAGACTGTGGTCTTTCTGAAACCCGAACCTCCGGACTGTCTTTCTGCTTTGGTAGCTCCCTGCTAAAAAAGCATCTTTGGAGATTTTTGCCAGCTGCAATGGGTTGCTGCCACCCCAGTACCGCTCACCCCTCCACCAGGGCACCGGCTGATCCATGCTGAGAAGCAGGGAGGTGTAACTACCTTCCTAGTGACGCCCCGCTGCCTCCTGCTCTAAGCAAAATACCTGCACAGCAGGGAGGCTGAGCTTTTGTTTCTGCTTACTAGAGGGGATCACTTTGAAGACTGATTTCAGTTATACATCATGCCTATTGATTATCCTTCCAAAAATCTGATGTAACACTGTTGAAAATGTTGTAAAAAGTAAGGAATTACCAAAGAATAGGATTTGGAGTGTCAAACGCCTCCAAATCTCTGCTTATCGTTGCTGATGACTAGAGTTGGATTTAGCAGGAGATTAGAGACTCCTATATTGTTGTTGTTCTCTGTGGAGCTCCGAAAATTATAACGTTACCTTCCAGGAGAAAAGACAATCCTATTCCTAAAGCTCTGGATAATACTCTGCTTAAAAATAAAACAAGATAGAAGCAGTTTCATTTTCATCTACTTATGTTAATCAGTTAAACCAGGCTCAAAGGGTTATATCTGAACTTCCTTCAACACCTGTAGAAACATACGCAGCATTTCCAACTCATGTAACAGAGATTTGTTGTATTTCTTCTTTAAAGCTGCATTCAGTCTTCTGTCTTTGTATTACCTTTGTAATTTACTAAACAGACAACCATTGTCAAAGATGTTTCTCATGTCCTTTTGAATGAGGGAAAAAAGATACAATTCTTAGTCTTTTCTGCTTGTCACCACATCAATAATTAACTTTAAAAAGGTAGTGTGAAAAGATGCTTTAAGGAAGCATTTAATAATTCAAAGGAATCTTAACCTGAAACAGGTCACATGAAAAAGAATGAAAAACAAAGCCCTGTGTAATCTTGGCTGGCTGGCTCTCTGAGACATTTAAAAGGAACAAGGCATACAGAATGTAACTGATTGTGTATTTGATTGCCCTTAGCACTGAGTCGTGTCATTGGATCATTGCTACTAAACAATAACACACAAAGTTAACCAGGCCGCATCAGTGATGCGTATGTAGTGATGTATTTTAGGCATAAGCTCAGGATGGCTGTTTGTCCAGGAATGAATATTCAAGGGAAAAGGAAGAAAAATAATACAACACGGTAAAAGGAAGTACCGTGATAAATGATCCTACTAGGGGCAATCAAATACAAAGGCTTGATATCATTAATATTTATAATATCATAATTAGCAAGACTGTGCCTAAGCAGTGTTATTAGTGTAACTAATTATGTTATCATAAACTAAGTTTGCAGTATTATAGGAATCAGTATTCTTACCTTCATAAATTATTATCAATATTGGATTTCATGTACTTGTGCCTAGCAAATTTAGTTAAGTACTATAGTTTCGTCTAGATTCAAACGCAAATATCTAGCTGGCTTGGCAAGTAGTCACTTCTGATTCTTTTTCTAAAATAAATTCTCTAAAAAGCATGTCCTTACTCTCTATTTGGAAAAGAGAAGATAGCCTAATGGATATGTTCTCATCGATAAAAGTAATGTCTAGGAATGTGTATGTTATACATGGAGCAAAATGTGACAGCCAAAATCCTGCATTACAATTTTAAAAACTTACAAGGAGCTGTCCAAGTTTGTCTTGGTAGTAAGATGAAATGCAGTTTCCTCAGTAAGACCACACGAGAAGCTAAACAGCAAACACTGGTGAACTTTTGCATTCAAAAAAGAAGTGAAGATGCTAATTTTCATATGTTGTACTTTTGGTGCGGTAAATGTAAAAATACAAAGAAATCATCCTACATTTTGTTACAAAATTCCTATTAATTTTCACTTATTTTGTTACAAAATTCCTATTAATTTTCACTTAGAATCATGGGTATAAGTTCAGACAATTGACAATTTAATGAGAAGGAACGGAGGGAGAAGGATTATTTTTGACTGCATCAAGAACTACTTGCCTTCTGATTATATACAAATTCGTTGAGCCTTTCCCAGTTTTGAATGCATTACAGAGTTAGGACCGGTCCTATTCCCAGCTAAGTATGTTCATAGTAGTATCTATTTTGATTCACGGTGCAATATTGAATGTTAATGTCCATATTTTTTTATAGCAGTGCACTAATCTTTTGATAATTATTTTTCTGTCCTGGTTTCAGCATCAAACAGATGCTGAGTGGAGTGTGTTGTCACAGGAGAGTGACACGGGAGACTTTTGTCATGAAATATTGTGGTCTATGATGACCAGAGTAAACTAAAAGATAAATACTTTCCTCTAAATGGTACACCTGACATCAAACTGAAGCTGTCTTGCCATGTAGTCACCAGATAAATGACAAACTGAACAGTTATCACTGGCATTTGTTACATTTATCACAATAATTTCCTTCCTAAACAGAAAGAATGCTAAAAATACTGTGCTAAATAGTGTAATATAATAAACAGTTTAATAGCAATCATACCAACTTTTGTCCAAAAGAGAGAATTATGTTGATCAGTACCCGTTCATGCTTCTGCATTAAAGAAATAATACTTTCATCTGGTAATTTATAGCCATTAACATACGAGAAGCATCATAGCACTGGAAAATATTTTGGAAACTTGAGTGCTGTTTTTATGTTTTTCACTGCTGCAGAATCTGTTTTTTTGTATATAGCCCCTAAATTTATCATCTTTTAGCCAGCTAGTAGATATTTTCTGATAGTCTTTTCAACAGCGCTAGCTGTTTCCCTTTTGCTAACGCAGCAGTTGCTGCTGGAGTCAATACTTGCCATTGTCCAAGATGTGACCTGTGGTACTACGCTGCCTGTAATAGCAGTGACATTCCCGCTTAGAAATGCTAACCTCAGTCGTGGCTTCCAGTCAGCGGGTGATACCGATTTCCAGAGCTCTACCATTTTTATTCATTCTTTCCTGTGGCTGTAGCCTCATCCATAACCGCTCCAAAGACAGTCCTAGCACAGATGCCGCGTCAGACTCACAAAGGTGGACAAAGCCAGTCTTCTGGGCTTCCTTCCTCATTGCTTTTCTGGTGGCTTATTAGTTGTTGTGGGTTTTTTTCTGTGGTAGGACCTGACATTTGAAGCCTTGACACAGATGACTGTCATTAACATCACCTCTGAATCACCTTTCCATTAAATGCATGGAATAAAACTTGTCATCTTGTCTCAGCTATAATCTCAGCTTGCAAATCTCGACACTGAGATGAGAGAGTGGCAAGGTAATGATGACACCGCACTGCTTCTCACTGACTCCCTCGAGGAAGAACTTTTGTAAAAGCACACTTACCTCAGCATGAATTTAGGACTGAGATCAAGTGCATGGTGCAATCAGGCAGACCGTTACGATGTAGAGCATGCTCTTACAACGCAAAGTTACTAAGGTGGCTGCAGAAGAGAGAGGAGCAAAGGTAGTATCCTTATAATCCCAAATTAACAGAATTATGTTTTGAAATAGTGTTCTTGAGTTTCTCAGGAAGGTACATGACCAGGAGTGATAAAGATAACTCTGTTCTCACTAGGTATCTGGATAAGGTACAGTATTCCCCCAAAGTGCAATTTGATCTCCTGTGTGTAGTCACTGTCGCACCTTGTCTGTTTATTACAGGACTTTTTTATTAGTTGCTCACTGATGTTACTCCAGAGAGCCGAAGTGATTATGTCCCAGAAATGCACTGGTGTCAGCTGGTGGTATAGTGTTTTTCTGTATAAACTTCTACCTAATGTCAGCTATAAAAATCATACTTAACACAATGGCCTTTATACATGCCAGGTAGCTAAACATTAAAAATATGGCAGTGTATTCAGTTGGTAGGTGTGGGTTTATAGGAAGAGATAAATATATATGGATGTTTCATACCTTGCTTTCAGCACCAGAAGTTTTGCAAAAACTGACGTTTGTTTGATCACGTCTAAAGGTTAAAAAGAAGAAAAAGTAATAATATAAGCATCTTGATTCCAGAAATAATCCAAAACCAAAACCAAACTGGTTTTCATAGTGGATCCTCCTCAGCTGTTGAGGTTGCGCTGTATTGCAAATGTTAAAACCATATGTGATAAAAACACATTTATAGAAGGTGGCTTTCTCCAACAGACAGCTGAGAGAGAATGATCTTGAACATGCAACAGTGTATGAACTTCAGTAAAAATACTCATCACCTTAAATTTAGCAAGCTGCTGATTTTGTTCTCTGAATGCATGGACTTCCCGTTAATCCCCAAAATACTCGTTTCCTTCAAGTATCTATGGGTAC